GGTCAGGGTCCCGGGCGGGCAGGGAAGGAGCCCCAGAGCAGGCGACCGGAGCGCGAGTCGACAACGGGACTCGAGTCCAGGTCCACACCGGGCTCCGAGCCCCGAGAACGTGAAGGGGCGGGGCTTCGGGCTCGGAACAAGGAGGAGCCAAAAGCTTTGGACCCGAAGGGAGACAGACGGGATCCGGAAAGGAGGCGGGGTCTGGAGCTCGGCGTGAGGGATGAGACGCGGTCTCCGTTCGGGTTCCTTCGGGCACAATCGGGAGCTTGAGTTCACGGGAGGCGGGGCCACAAACTTCGGCTCACTTCGGAGATAGTCGAGAACGGAGCGCTGGGGCTACTGTGGGCGGGGCCACATGTTTCGGCTTTCTTCGGAGATAGTCGAGTCCTTAGTGTCACTGTTCCGATGTGGGAGGGACCACAGACTCGGCCGGATGTGGGTGGGGCCATAAGCTTCGGTTTACTTCGTAGATAGTTGGGTACAAGGGACGCTAGGATGATAGGCGGAGTCAACAGGTTCGCCAGATACCGATGAGGATTTACAAGGGGGCGGGGCGAAAGCGGCTTGCCCTCAAAGGGGCGGAACCCCGAGGGCCGGCGTGCGCCTAGGGGACGGGGCCAGCGTGACGAGCCTCAAGTTCCCAAGCTGAGGAGAGGAAGCTGCAGAGGGAAGTGCGCTCGGTGGGGCGGGGCCAAGGTGGTCACCGCGGGGAGGAGGGCGGGGCTTCGAGCCTGCGAGGGGCGGGTCCTGACTCCCCCCGGCGCTGACGGGGCGGGATGACGAAGTTGACGAGAGGGTCGGCAAGAGCGGGTGGAGGAAGGAGCGCGTGGCGCGGTGCGTAGTGGGTGGCTCCGCCTCGACTGCGAGTTAGTGTTTATGAGGTGACTCGCTGGTTCTGTCGGTGGACCGTGGGACATTCTGAAGGGAAGCAAGGAGGCGGACTGAGCGCTCCCAAGTGGGGTGAGCCCGCCCGAGCGGAGAGTGGACGGCGGGTGCCCAGGGGGCGGGGCTTTCGGCTATGGGGTTCGGTCGTCGGGCGGGAACTCCCCATCGGGGGTGCGCTGGCGCTCGGAGGGGGCGGGGCCACAGCCTGCGGGACTGCCGGGAGCCGATGACGCCCGAACGCCGAACCTCAGGCGTCCGGGAGGAGGCGGGGCTACGGATTCGGCCGAGCCGAGAACACCCGAACGCCAAATTGCTCGCGTTCGAGAAGGGGGCGGGGCTGCGGATTCGGTGAAGCCAAGGACGCCCGACCGCCGCACTTCTTGTGCTCGGAAGGGGGCAGGGTTTTGTACTGTGGGAGTCTTGAGAGCTTGTAGGCCCGAAAGCCGAATCACAGTGGTTCGGAAAGAGGAGGAGCCAAGGTCGGAGCGTCCCGAAGTGGGTGTGGCCTTGGCAGTGCCTTAGCCTCGAGAGCTTCTGACCCCTGATGGAAGCACCCGAAGGGGGACGCCCACTTTGCAAGAGGGTGGTGCCAAAATGGACCTTTGTAAGGGGGCGTGTCGCCGCGCTTGGGGAGGTTTGTTTTTGAGACTCCAAGGCGCAATGGTAGGTACGGCAGTGTGGGCACAAAGCGGGTGCCGACTGCAGGGTCACAAGGGTAGAGCAGGGCCCCGGGGGCGCGGCGAGGGGCGAGGGCCGCGGGTCGGTCTCCGGCGGCCGCGGGGCCTGGCGGGATCGCCCTGGGGTGGGGCCTGGCGCTCCGGCCCAGCAGGTGGTGAACGGCGGCTGAGCGAGGCCCCGCCCCCTGAGAACTAGGGGCGGGGCTTCGCCAAGACCCCGGAGGCTTTGGTTGTGCTCCGGTGGCCCGCGGCGCGCAGCCGTTTCGGTAACTGCTTTGCTTCCCGGCTCCCGCAGGAGGATGCTAGTGGTGGAGGTGGCGAACGGTCGCTCCCTGGTGTGGGGAGCCGAGGCGGTGCAGGCCCTCCGGGAGCGCCTGGGTGTGGGGGGCCGCACGGT